TTAGGTTTAGGTTAGGTTATCCTTTCTATCACAGACTGTTGTAACTTTCTCACGTTTTTTACTAATATTTCTTCCCAGCATTATTCTACTTTCTTCGTAACAATTTGTACAAAACTTTCCGACTTGGAATGCCGGATGTAATTCGATCATTTCGAAACTATATCGAATGCTATGCACGACACTTGACGTGTTAATAGTGTCTTTGTATCGTTAAGAAATTTCTTTATTTTTCTATATTATTCCCACGGCAAAAGCAAGATTGGGACACGAAAAGGCAAACGCCATAAGGGAATTTATAAGTTTGAATTGTGCTTGAAGATGAAAATTCGTGGCAAGTGATTCTGGTCAAGACAGCAGACTTGCAGTAGATCACGCCATCAATAGTCAGACGAAGACCACTTTACTGGTTACAATCAGTATAGATACGCCCTTCTGTCGTAATTTTGATCATACGATTAATCTTCAATAGAAAACCAGATACATTTAAATGTTATTTAAATACAGGAAATCCTGTATTCAAGTAATTACGAATTGTAACAACGCCAAAATTATTGTAACACTAACGTACGAAACAATGCGAGCATTGTAGACTGTGTTGAAACAGTGTTTCCTCTAAAAAAAAAAATAAAGATCCCGGGACTTCCGATTCGCCGGAAGTTGCACGTTTCTGCCACCTGTTATCGGCTCTATCTATGGTATAAAGCAGTTGGTACAAACGAGTTACCATTCAAATGGCGAACGAGTGTCGCGCAACGATGGTGAAACTACGTGTATCTCCTGTTTTAATATTGCTCGCAGTTTTTAGTGTCAACCTGGTGGAGCCGTTGGTGAAAGAGAGCTTGTCCAAATTTATAGGATCTTTAACGGGCGTGACACAGTACTTTCCTCTCATTGATCGATTTACCTACGCTTATGTGGACGAATTTGATATATATATATGTATGATAACTATCGGTTGCAGAGTGAGGATTCCGGAATTGTTGAACCAACTGTGCAACGAGTCGCAAGGATCGGATACGGTACGTCGAGATGCGTGTTACGGATGTTTCTTCAGGGCGTCCAGTCAAACCGTTGGCTATCCTTTGTTGGTGGCTTTGTCTAATTGCGCCGATATTTATCTCAACAATACCGATTACGGCCATTGTCAACAGTACCTGAGAGTAAGCTCTCGAACGGGAAATTCTTTGTTTCGTCTCGATCGATCACTCGCAATCAGCTCGGACTGTTTAGTAAAAGTGATCTGTGTTGCAGAACGCCACCAGTATGACGAATTCAAGAACAAATCCTACGAGGGTGTACTGCACGTTCCTCGAATGTGTTCGACAAGTGAACAAGGACAATTTAGTGAGTATATCGTTCAATTTGCCATCCTCCGAAACGTTTTTAACCATTTCAGTGCCATTTAAGGCTATTTCTTGACATAACTGCCAAGCAACGCAATAAAATAAAAACTACCTATTTATGCAAATAATTCGGGTTAGAACGCTAGAACAACCGGCGACTAAAGCATAAAGTTTTCATTAGAAACGTCAAAGTAAAAAAAAAAAAAAAAAATGGGAGAGCTTTATAATGCAATAAATTACACAAGCTTTCGTTTACACATTTTTCGAAAAGTCATTTAAATTTTTAAAAATCGTTATTTTACGTCTGTAAAATTTCTCACGAAGATTATAAATTGGCCACTTTGGTAGTTCTAGTGGTAATTGAAAAGAAAGTAATTAGAAGAGGAAACTTCCGAGAATACTACCGACATTGCAAATTGAGCATCGCGACCAAACGCTATGACACCATTTGACACAAAATGGCACTGAAATGGTTGAACTGCTCTTGCATGCTTTTGTACAGTGGGCAACGAGACTGTTCGAATCACGCAACTGACTACATAAATTACAAATAATTTACTCCCAACGGCTGTTAATTCGTCTACACATAAAAATTGTACATAAAAATGAAGGAAAAGCAAAATTCACAGGATGCGCGAATCAAGCGGAGGACGATGTCCAGCTTCGGGTACACATCCGGACAAGTGCCATTCTTTCATTTAAAACTACACAAGAAACTATCGAGAGCTGTTTGCGTTGTACGAGAACGGGACACGGAGTCGAATACCGTACGGCCAGGAGCGGAACCCATCGATCCGAGACACAAATTTACTACTTAAAACAGCAACCAAACTGTACATACAGACCGGTGTAAAAAATTCTGTACATACTATGCTATCTTTCGAAAAACGTCTGCACAACGAAATCTATTATAGTAAGTACATAGCACCCACTCTTGTATATATGTACATATACTGCAACAGTGCGATCTATGCTTTTGCTCTCTAAAATTGCTCCCTCGACCCTTCGAAGACCCGCGCCAATTCGCTTCAATTTCTCCACTAAGAGAACTTCGAACTCGCTCAAGAATTCCTTGGCGAGATTGAAAGGCGAAGTCGATCTCGGACAAGACCAATCGTTTAACGATCAATCGTTTTACACAGCTCAGGGAATGCGTCGGCGAGGCTGTACGAACGTTCCCCAATTTCAACACCACGGACGTCAAACTGGCCCAATTGTACGTGAATACCACGGCGTGCGTGTTGGCGAAAACCCGTTGCTCGCAAATGAACCCGATAACCGGGGAATTTCAAGAAGACGATCTCGCTAATAAGCTGCACATACCTACGGTCAATGCGGTGCTGGTCAACACGGATTACGACATCAATATCGTCCAGCTGCCGTTTCACTCCAGCTCCATCGACGTATGCGCGAAATACAGGAACTACGAGCAGGCCAGCTGGCCGAGCGTCGTCTGCTGATCAAACAAGTATACTTGGAATTTTAGCTCTAGAATTTTACAATTCCAACTAACAATATATAATGTAATGTATTCATGATCGAATGAATTTTAGCACGTTCAGCTCTGTAAACGTTGAAACTCCACAACGATGAAATAAACTGACGGTAGAAGTGAAAGAACCAGATTCATCCAAATGGTAATTTAATTCGCAGGCTGTTAAATGTGAGTGCGAAAGAGTCACTTCTCGCGAACAGTTCAACTCGAGAATAGCTACGAGTTTTATAGCTGACCTGGACAAATCTATAATTAGCATTACCTGGAAGTCGGTCGTTCGAATTTTTGCCTTCGAGTGATCGCGAATCGTTGGGACCTGTCCGCTGTTCCGAGTTAATCGCGTTGCACACGACACAGCTCGCGACTTTTCCCGCCAACCTCGGCGATTTCTACTTCTGCTCGCTGATGAATTGGATCGCGGCTGTACGAGCGTGAATATCGATTACGCTCGTTTGGCGAACGCGATTTCCATTTCACGAGTCAAGTTAATAACAGTTACGAGCCGCGATGACACGGAAAGATAGCGTATAATAATAAAGACCAGAGAGAGAGAGAGAGAGAATGACACGAGTCATCTAAGTGCAAATCGTGAGTCACCGAGTCTCGTGAAGCAACCTAATCTAACAGGAATGCATAAATCCACCATCGATGACGTCGTCCACGGGCGTGAATCCTCCCTCTCCTCCGCGAGCGCATCAAACGATACTGGCAGGTGTGGAAGCCCATCGTTGCGCAAAAATGGACACTTTACTCGTCCCGAGATTCGGTATACGACGCGCGCGAAGCGATCTTCCAAGAACCATGACTAAAGTAATCTCGCGGGAGTCGTAACAGCGACGAAAGAATGTACGAATAGCGGCATAAATGAGAGAATGCGTCGTAGCCGGTTCATCGACGCCGAGTACACCGGATGCGGATGTTAAAAGGAAGTTTTACGATATTACTTATCCCGTGAAGTGACCGATAAACAAGCTTACGACAAATTATACGGTGAAAGAACCAAAAACAAACCTGGCTAGATCCTATATACGTGCCGAGTTAATCTAGAAGACGAATTATCTTCGTAACTATAAGAAAATTTATGCACCGTGCAATCAACAAATATCAACCTGCAAATATACACTAACAATGAATTCAGCAGTTTCGACGATTTTATTACAACGAATATGTCCCGTAACTTTGAAGTAACAACGGCTTACAACGTTTGCACTTTTTGTGTGTATAAAAGCTTAAGTGTGGAGTACTATAATACAGTTTGTAATTTCGAATGTTTTATTTTTGGAACCCGTTCTCGCATCCTCGTCTGATGATGATTTACCACTAAATTCATTCATGTACTGTCGAATAAATACAATTGGACATCTAATAAAAAATTGTTATTCGAAAATTGCTCTTTTATTTTTATACAATTTTGTATCCTTATTTTAGGCCTCTGGCGTATAAAACTAAAAAACAAATTATTATCGCAAACATAACTCTACCGTTATAACTCATCGTGACTTGAAATAGTCACAGAGCTACGTCATATAAAAATAGTTAACAAAACGATTGCGTTGAAATGCAAAGAAATAAGATATTATTGATAATAATCAAGTTGAGTTTAGGTTAGGTTAAGTTACAAACTATTACGCACGCTTTTTCTTCTTGTTTAACAAACACCGATGGAAGAGAAAATAGTGACAATTACATAAGATAGCTTCTTCTAGCTTCTATCTGCAAAATAATTTGCAAAAGCATCTGCCTTGATAT